CGGGTGACGGTGTGTGTCAGGTGTGCGGTGTGCCGGTGTGTGACGTTTGTCGGTGGGACGGTGTGTCCGTGTGTCGGTGTGACGGTGTGACGGTGTGGTGTGACAGTGTGTCGGCGTGACGGTGTGTCGGTGTGATGGTGTGACGGTGTGATGGCGCTCGTGCGTCGATGTAACGGTGTTACGGTGTGACCGTGTGACAACGAAGCGCAGACAGCGCGACTGACCCCTCCAGGACGATCACGTCCTCGTGCTGGGTGTAGGCCCGGGCCATGCGCAGCGCCAGATCATTGGCCTCCGACCTGCCGACGACAGGTGGAATCCCGGGTCAGCCGAACCCCGGGTCAGCCGAGCCCCGGGTCAGCCAAGCCAAGGGCGAATAAATGTGAAGTGAATGAATACGAAGTTACATTTACACCCTGCACAACCCCCTGGATAACTTTTAAAACGCCGCCTGGGGTTAACCCCACCATGATCACCTCACATCGATCCGGAGTTGACTTCATACGGATCTGAAGTTGGCCCCACAATGAGCTGGAGTTGACTCCACAATGAGCTGGAGTTGACTCCACGCGGACCCGAAGTCGACTTCACAATGAGCTGGAGCTGACTCCACAATGAGCTGGAGCTACCTTACACTGACCCGATTCGACCCCACACTGACCCGGAGCTGACCCCACACTGACCCGGAGTTGACCCCACAATGACCCGGAGTTGACCCCACACTGACCCGGAATTGACCCTACACTGACCCGGAGTTGACCCCACACTGACCCGGAGTTGACCCCACGCTGACCCGGAGTTGACCCCACACTGACCCGGAGTTGACCCCACACTGACCCGGAGTTGACGAGGTAGCAGACGCTCAGCTGTTCGGGCATCAGGTCGGTGAGCTCCTTCAGGTACAGCGAGAGCGCGTCGAACAGGAAGCCCTGGGCCCAGACCAGGCGCGCCATCTGCTGCTGGACCGCGCGACACCACGTGGGGGTGGCAGTGGCCCACTGTCGAGGTAGGTACGGAGCACACTGTTAGAGACCCACTCTGGGGACGGGTATGGGGAGCACTACGGTGGAGGCCCGATGTGGAGACAGATATAGGGGACAACGTGAAAGAGGCCTTCTGTAGAGACGGATAAGGAGAACACTGAGTTTCTTCACTACGGAGACAGTTGCAGAGAACAGCGACACAACCAAAGAGCCCCAATGTGGAGACAAACACTGAGGCAGTGGCGGTGCCCCACTGTGGAGACGTTCAAACACCGAGTTTCTCCACCGTGGAGACAAGAGAACACCGACACCATGGCAGTGGCCGACCGGTCAGTCAGTGGCCGACCCCGGCCGGACCGGTCAGTGGCCAAACCCGGCCTGATCGGCCAGCGGCCGACCCCGGCCGGACCGGTCAGCGGCCGACCCCGGCCGGACCGGCCAGTGGCCGAACCCGGCCGGACCGGTCAGTGGCCGACCCCGGCCGGACCGGTCAGCGGCCGACCCCGGCCGGTACTACTGACCATGTGCCGCGTTGCTGACGCAGTCCAGGTACTCGGTGTTACTGTCGTCGTACATGTACTGCTTGGAGGCCCTGGTGAGCTTCAGCGACTCGCCGTAGTGGAGCTTGTAACTGTGGCAGGGCACAGTCGTCATCAACGTGGCCGACACGCCGCGGCTGCGTCCAGCTGCTTTCTACTGAGCTGGTCGCTGCCATGCGACACGACCACTGTTCAGGGGGCTACGCGCGCATGAGTAGGGCTGTGAGAACGGCACCTTTCCGGAACCGACAAGCCGCCGCGGTAGGCCACCATCTGGGTTCGCAGGGACCCGCCAGTAGTCTAGGGGGGAAGGTAACGGCAGTGCGTAGGCCGTGGCCCGCGGCGGTGGAGTGCTGATTGAGCGCTCTCCGAGTCTCGCTGGTCACACGCGGGATTGGCGGATGGGGCGGCGAACGGGCAGGCTGTCGGCTGTGGCCACGGGAGCGGGTCATCCCATGCCTGCGTGCTGAAACCTAACTGCATCAGAAACAAAAGCAAGCCTGTACTGCGTCGGCGCACTCGCTGGACGTCATGTAAGGCAAGCTTTCCACTCGTTAACTTTTTAATAACTTTTTGCCGTACCAATGTTGACGCGCGTGCCTCCATATTAAACATACATATTTGTGCTTTGACCTCACTACAAACAGAACAATGATGACTTCACAGACTATTCTGTGTCACCATTACTGTGTACGCACCTGAAAATGTCTTACCTTGTTGGGCGAGACATGTTGGATGCTCCTTGATCGCCGGCTGAAGTCTAGCTACCTTGTTGACTGATACATCTCCCTTCCCGCCCGACCTCTGGATGTCTTACCTGCAATGGCACAAAGATAAACGTCACTTGTGCTGGCCATGACGAAAGGCCGGACGCAAGCTTCGGCCGTCCTGTCTCTTGCTCGACAGTGCATGGTAGGGGCATACCAGAACTACCATTCTAACGCAATGCCAGCATGGTAGGGCCATACCAGAACTGAGATTTGCATCATATGACCTAGAATGTTATTACCATCATTACTGACACTTTGCTTAGAGCATTTGTTTCCTTTCATTACGAAAAATATAACTGAAAGTTCTTGAATGTATGGGTTTCTGGAAACAAAACTCATGCTTAACAGTACATTGTTAGGCCCTGACCCAAAATGTAAGTAAATGTGGTAAGTGATTAATATGCTGCAATGCTCAACACAGCCCCTAATGCCCTTGTGGTGTCACCTGGTGTTTAGTCTAGATACCTCAATCAGCCTCAGACCATTTCTGTCATGTTAAATGCAAGTACCAACAGCTGTTTGAACCCACCCCACCATGGGTGGGTGGATCAGAAAGCAGGTACTCTAACCAGCTGAGATATCAGGATGGACTGCATGGACTTTTTGGTGTATGATGCTCGATTTCCACTGCCTTATTTTCAAGGTCAATTCTTACTTCCAATTTCATAGAATTTATCATGCTGCATGATCCATGACCTCAAATATAATATTGAGTTACTCTTTGAATTTTGGGAATTAGCTGTGTTGAAATTAGATTTACCAAATAACTTTCACAAGTAACTCAGCCAGCAAATCACAAATTAACACATCAATGGCCTAAGAGACCTGATATCACCACTGCTCACTTTCACTGTTACCACTTTGGTGCTAACTTACTTACCATAGTTATAGTATCACCTATAAATGTTTACAGCTGTTTGTACCCTTGTTAGTGTAACCATAGGTTTCTGCTGCTTCTGATTAATCTGATTTGAATAAAGAGCTTGTTTGACTGGTTGGTCATAAACTGTGTTAATTTCACAAGATATCTGATAAGATCATTGATGTTTAGTTCAGTCCATTGTGTTCACAGATGTTTCCAACAAGTGGCATACTGTTTGATTCACTACAATAGCAAAAGTAATATTATTACAGTGTCAAAACATGGCAACAATGCAATCACATTCACATGGTATCAAACTGTGCCAACTTGGACAAAACCAAATAACTGATAACAATCTAAATTGTCATCATCACAATCATATACAAATGTGATATGGAAGAGATGAACACATGTTCCAAGAAAGATCAACCATTGGCATTGCAAAATTCCTGATTTTATATTTCACCTTAGGACTGCATATGTGGGGTTAGAAGCAGCACATGCGGTGATGAGAACTGTCCTACACCAATAATGATTTGTCACTAAGAGGAAATGTGGCATGGCAGGGTGACTTTGTAATGCCTACTGCTATGCCTACAGGAAGAGCTGGATCATCCTAGGTAACCTTCTTTCATGTTAGAACCTGAAAGAATAGCTTATTTTAAATGGCAAGTAGTAAAGCCTACTCAGACAGAGGATATTACCATACAAGGAACATAATGCCCAGTCCTGCAAGATGGGAGCTCATGAACCTCTAATATTACTTGAGCATGGTACAAATTACATCTATAGATGTGCGATAACAATGAAACAGATGATATTGCAAACCACCATCCACCTGGCAGAGGCTTCAATGCTATCATTCCTGATGTTACATAACATTCAGTTCAGCTTGTTCACATGTGTGGAGGTGGTATACATGACATTCGGGGTATGTATGCAAACATGGCTAAAGAATTTCAACATGAACAATGCTCAGAATTGTTTGCAAGCTGGCAGTGGCCAATGGTAAGAGTTCACAATTACTGACAAAATAGTTTGGTTACAATCTGGCACATGGTGTCAACAATAAAAAAGCCATTCCCCTAAATAACACACAACAGAGGAAGTACTCATCCAGACGCACATAAGAACAGCACGCAGCTAGCAATGGACGGGCATGCACTTACGGACCGTTGCGAGCGCTCCTCCGGTTACGTAATGCATACGTATAGAGCCCCTAGATTGTCATCTTGACCATGTCGTGACAAATATGCGTTCTGATGCACAAAAACTCCTAAATTCCACTTTATTTTGCATTTTGGGTGAAGAAATGGCGAGGTATACCATGAAATACAGTCCATAATATATCCACTATCATCTTCTCAATGCCGCCCCAATGCGTTCCGTGTTTACCCTACCAGTCAAGCGGAGTATTTTGTCACCGACACGTCATATTTGTCCCAAAACAATGGAGTTCATCTACTGCAACTGTATAATCGCAGAAGGCTTGGTCTATAAAACCAGCATATGGAGCAGATACGCTCGTTTTCCAAAAAAAGTTCATCTGATCGCCTTGAAACCTACACCGATCGATTTCGTGTAACAAGTTGTGTCATGAGAGAACAACATCAAGGCCTGATATGAGGTCGAACATCTCAAAAATGCAAAGACAAAATTGTAAATACATGAGCAGACAGCTCAGATCCCAGAGCCGTCCACCGCATCAACCACCGTAAAATCTTTGTCATTGGAAGCACCGCGCCTGATTCCCTGTTGCAGTTGAAAATCTGGTGCCCCTAGATCGGATCAAAAGCCGTCAAATTTCACAACTTCCAAAGACTCAGTTCTCAGAACCTATCGAACCGATCGCTGTCAAACATTCGTCATTGAGTGCGCCGTACCTGATTTCCCGCGGCAGCTAAAATTTAGTGGCCCCGGGTTAGGTCAAAAGTCGGTAACTTTCATGCATTCCAATATTATTGCATGCAGAAAACTCAGTTTTACTTCTGATTGCAAGGAAAAGGCGCCACTCTAGAGGCCGCCTTCGCACGCCGAAAGCATTCTTCTATGGCGGCCATGGGCGGCGGCTCGTCTTTTTATTGTGGGGGACGGGGAAGGGCTCAGCCAAGAAGTACTTCGGTCGTCCCGCACTCTTGATGCTTCCAGGGTAACCTCTCAAGCTTCGCTTGTCTCACGGCCCTACGTGTGTTAAGTTTGTTGCTGCGTTTCTCAGCTCATCTTGTTACAATTTTTAACCGGCCGTTTTTTACCGAGCAAACATAACCTTTTATCACCGTGTGGAAGATGCTCTAGTACTGGTAGGTGTATTGCTGAATACTACGAACATAACGTTTCTATGAGTCGGTAAAAAGCCCACGACATTAACGGATACAGCTATTGGGTTTGCAGACTAAGTCATTCGGCTAAATATACAACCTCAACCTATATCAATTGTTTTCTGTCCTTGGTTTTAGTTCATAGAGCCACCGTGTCAAAAAGCGTTGTTTTGCACAATTTTATTTCTTTAAATATGCAATATATTGAAGCCGCTTTACTGGATATTCGAGTTTTGTGTGACGTGCAAGCGACAGGCGACAAGTACGGCAACGTGCCACATTTTGTCAACACAACTTTCGCCATGGCGCCATTTGCTTGACCTATTCAAAGGGATATTCCACATTTGAAAACATTGAAGCCAGCATCAGATATGATTAAAGACGCTCACTTTAACTCTTGGCGTGCTTTGTAAAATCGGCTGCTCTAGACAACACAATTCTTCTGTTTAGTAAATATGCTCCTCTGCACGTCGGTATTGAATTGCGTCATCGTACCTTGCTCAGCATTGATCGAGGGCCATTTGACGGTCGTTATATCTGGAAATTGTGCTCACGAATGCCACACATATGAACGACCTGACAATTCTTATTTTCTTGGATCGCCCTTAGACCCTTAGAAAAGCAGGATTTAGCTGATACTATTATAGCGTCATGGATGCCCGAGAAACATTTAAATAGTCACCTCTGAAATAGTCTGTATATCTTTGCGGGCGTGTAATTCAGAAAGTACAGGGTTTTAGGTCTGAACACGCGCTCGAGGGAGAGGCAAATTGATCCTCCCAAAGGTTTTTAAAAGATGGTTTCCGAACGGCTCGGCGTAGCCGCGCCAAATTTTGCATAGCTGTAGACAATTGAATACCGGATCGTTTGACATGACAAATTTGGATGTACCTTGTAAGGTCGCTGACCTATGGTAGACCAAAGTCAGGCCATGGCTTCAGCGAAGACAATTTCTAGGGAATCGTTCAGTCAGATCCAAAAATGGAGTGTTAGACGAAGCCGTACATCTCTGAGATGTTTTCTTAGGCTACATAACAATTGAATGAACAGTTTACAATGACCTTAAATCAGGTATGAACGTCGGTCAAAGGTCAAAATCAGCCTGTTTTATGACTCTGAAGCTTGCTGTATGGGATAGTTTCTGGTTCTCATTTGAAATTTGTTGATAACAGGAACCGCGTTATACACCTTCCATGGACTAATCAAATGCCAGAATAGGTCACTGACCTAAGGTGATCCCGGCGATTTTTTTTTGTAGACGCATACTGCCTAGCGTAACCTTTGTCGCTTATTCAAATGCAAAACTTAAAGCAGTACTGCATGATTGTAGCAACCATGACCTTCAAAGGGCCAAGCAAGGTCACGGGCCTTAAATGAGCATGCGTTCTGTCGCTCAGAACAGCAACCTGGGTTGTGGGGGCCCTTCGGAGACCAACCGGGAATTTGACCTTGTTTGACCTTATTTGACCCGAAGATTATGACCTAGGAAGCTCAAACTTTGATGTAAATGAGATGATGTACTGGTCAATACACCCTGTGAACTTGGTGGTTCTAGCTCTCTTAATGTCTGAGATCTCAGGAGGTCAAATCGACCCTACCCGAGAGAATGGTATCCAATCGGCCACCCTGGCGCGCGTTGAGAAAGGCAGGGCTGTTAACTGCACCGACTGATCTTCAAGATGGCTATTTCGGTGTAAAATCTCGCACGAATGTGGAGCATTCCCTTTAAGAGTCCACTTTGACTCGTACTTGTGTGGGACTGAAGCTAAAAGCGAATTGCTCATGATTAGTTACCGCTTATGAAATAAACTGTAAATTCAAAAATGACAATGAGTTTGTTGTAACTGTGGTGTAGAAAAGGCGTGTGCTATTAGTGGGACTGCCATATGTTTACTTGTCATTATATTAAAGCGCTCCGGTGGCGTGCGAAAATTTCTCTTGACCTGATGCATGCCACAATTTGAGGGCAATTTTTATTTTACGTGGGCACCCTGTCCCTCCGCATAACAAGGTAACAACACACCAACCTGTAAAATAGATTGGACTTCAGTGCGTTAATCAATGGTATTATTTATTGCTGCACACAAATATAATTATCCCTTGCATTTAGAAAGATTTACCTGTCCCCGAACGGGTGAACTCCATGAAAATGGCGACAGCACGCAGTTAAATATTTTGGAACACACGGGCTACAGGACTTCAACCGAACCCGGGACGTAATTACGATGTTGTCCCGAAATTCGTGAGGGATGTCAAAAACAAAACCACTGTTACTTTGGATGAAAAACATTCATATATGGCTCCTCCAAGATAAATTTCGGCCGGCGGCTTGAAAGTGTCAGCCTGTTTACAGGGCGGCCGAGAGTCGTGGAGTTGCACGGGATAGTAAATGTTCTTTTGAACTATTTGGAAAAGAGACCGGGCGAAATAGGCCCGTTGAGCCGTCATACTGGTATGGCGCGTTCAGAGCACAAGCAATTGATTATTCTCAGCTCAAAATTTTATTAAATATGCTCCAGACAATTTTCGTTTTCTTTTATTAGTGTTCGTTTTGCAGCCGAACGGGCTCGAAACATGACCTCAATTAACGATGCTATACCGCAAGAACCATATTATTTTGCCGAAGAATGTCATGAGGCCCTACACCAAAGAAATTTCTACCAAACTGGAATGAAATTTGATTGTTTATGACAGCTGTGTGACAATTTTTGGATTAGCAACGCGAAGACATGTTTTAACGGCAGCTGACTGGGATAATCTGTCCTGACTTAAGCTGATAACACTGGGTGCGGGTGTTTACAACACAGTCCGAATGGTCTGCATGGTGGCTTTGAGTTCAGCGTGCCTGCTAAGCATAGTTTAGCATAGCTTGTTGCTTTGAGTTTAGCGTGCCTGCTAGGCATAGCTTTGCATAGCTTGTTGCTTTGAGTTCAGCGTGCCTGCCAAGCATAGCTTAGCATAGCTTGCTACATTGAATTCAGCGTGCCTGCTAAGCATAGCTTATCATAGCTTGTGGCATTGAATCCAGCGTGCCTGCTAAGCATAGCTTAGCATAGCTTGTTGCTTTGAGTTCGGCGTGCCTGCTAAGCATAGCCTGTTGCGTGCGCCCTGGACCCTGCCACCCACGCCATGCCGTCCGTTATGAAGCCAAGCTGCGCAGTGTGCGTCACCGCCGCCTCAGGCCGGGGTTCATCTTCGTTGGACATTTCCTGACCGACATGTTCATTTCAGTCGGGCAAACAACGCGCCCGCTCTGGGACTCGTACTCAGTGCGAGGGTTAGGCGTCCACAACTCTTTCCTAGAATATGGCGACAATGTTTTATAGGCCGGTTTTAAATACCTGCCAACACTGAGCCAATTAATGCGGTTTCCTTGAAATGGGAATTTTGCGGTCCTGTTCTGAATTTCCGCGAACTAAAACTGTGTTCTATATGTTTGTAATTTTTCAGATAACGATGGCATTTATTTGTAAGAGCATGCAAACACCAAACGTAAAAACCGCAGAAGTTGCTGATATCCAGCAGGGCATAGGAACCAGCCGGCTCTTCATGAATGGAGATTCTTTGGGTGCTAGGTGTTAGGTCTGAAACCCCTAACCCGGAAGACCTAGAATGCGTGCGGAGATCCGGGATGCCAAAGTCGGAGTAGGGCGATGAGTAAATGTCCTCTATGTTAGGGATGCCATCGAGCCGCGCGTCATAAAGAAAATGGCCGCACTGAGTGAGAGAAAAAAATCCAGGGCAGAATTTCAGACAGTAGCAGATAGATTCTCTTTCAGTTCGCCCATTTGCCTTCGATTTGAGCTAAAGGAAAAGTTTTTCCAAAGGGTCCTTGAACCCCTCGGACCCATAGATTTCTGATTTTCCGGGGCCCAGGGGAACCGAACCCCCTCACCCGACCCCCCAAAGTATCTCTAGTACCCCGCAGCTACCTTATGCCTTTTGCAGCTACCTTATGCTACCAGAACGGAAACTTGCAAGTAACTTAACTTAACGGACAATGCTGCTTATCTATAGACATAAGTTACATTGGTCGAGATGTTGGGGGAGAAACGTAATGACACTA